TTAATTCAATCTGGCTCTGGAAAAAGTAATATGTATATCACAAATCACAACCTCTGATTTATAATAAATCAGTGCAAATCTTGGCCTATGCTGATGATATCAATATTGTTGGGAGAACGGAAAACACTGTACAAAAGGCGTATTAAAAGAATCAGTTACAAAAAATGGGTTTAATAATAAACAATAACAGAACGAAGTATATGAAAATAAGCACGCAACCACAAATCCTACGACCACTCGTTATAGAAAACGACGTCATCAAAGCAGTGAACGAATTTGTATACCTTGGAGCGCTCCTTAATAATGAAAATAATACTATTGCAGAGATAAACCGCAGAATTTGCACGGCCAACAGATGCTATTTTGGGCTTAATCTCCTCCTTAAATCCACAATTATATCGAGAAATACAAAAATAATACTCTACAAAACTATAATACGCCCAGTCCTAACATATGGTTCAGAGACCTGGACTCAACACAAAATAATGAAAGGATGTTTCGAAAGAAAAGTACTAAGACGAATCTATGGAGCAGTGAATGACAATGGAGTGTGGAGAAGACGATATAATTTCGAATTTTATAGAATATACCAGAAACCTGATATCGTAAAACATATTAAGATAGGACGTCTGAGGTGGATAGGATATGTAATGCGGATGAAAAAAAATGACACAGCTAGAAAAACGCTAAAAAAAATTCTTGAGGAGGCTAGGACCCACGCAGGGTTGTAAAGCAAGAATAATGATGATAAGAAGATTATTATATTTAAAACAGACAGCATAAATAGCGATTGGTAACTAAACATAACAAAGAAACTTTTTTTAGAAATTTTGATTCTATAATATGAAAAAACAAAAACAAAACACAGGAAATATATTATGTTTGATATTGTAATTTATTGCAACAACTTAAACTACCATGACTTCGAATTGCACAAAAGTCCTTTGCCTTTACAACTACATTTAGCTGTAAAATACTTTCTTTTGCAGTTAAGTGTATAGCCTGGTCCTCCCCTTAGTTCACATTTTGACGAAATGCCCCTGAAGATGCTATTAGAATTAGTACAAGCTGCTTTTCTTAGAATTAAACGTTTAATATTTCATCACTTGTAATATTATTCATGAAAAGTCATTTTTCTTTACAAATTGCGAACTGATTGGTGTGAATCCTCTCTTTCAACAACAACCGCTAATACATTTCGTGGGTCTGTGCGACCACGGTCAACATCAGGCACTTTAATTTTTACAATATCACTTATTTGGTCTGGAGGGAACTTTTTTCTGACGTTCGCACTATTTTGTTATTTGAATTAAAAGATTACTTTTGCAACTGCTCGCTTTGAAGAAATTTGCTCATGCTGTTCAGTCAGGATTTATATTTGAAGCACATAAAAAAGGTAACTGCTGATAATAATTTTTGCAGATTTTGATGTATTATATTATGGTTAGTAGTATGTTTGTCTACATGAAGTTAAGGTAGTTATTGTTTTAAGTACTCCCAATGTCCATGGTACAGCAGGTTCTAAACTAATGGGAAATCAAGGAGGTAAGGTGGTGTTAAGAGATGGGAGATCCATTTTGATTCGGTGGTAGAAATGCTAGTGTAGATGTGGTTTGTTGGAGAAAAATGTTGATAATCGATTAAGATGATCATATTTGAAGGTGTGGTTGTTAGGATTTGCATTTGATTTAATTGCGAGGTTAACTTTAAGTACATTCTTTTGTAATTAAATGATGGTTCAGCTGCTTCGAAATACAGGCTTTCTATTGGTATGGTTCTGTAACCTCCCAAGACAATGCGGAGTGCAGTATTGTAGATTGTATCTAAAATTTTCCAGGAATACCCATAAGGCGAAGAATATGCTACCGCACCATAGTCCAATTTAGATCTGATTAGTGTTATGTAGATGGAGAGCATAGTTTGTCTATCTGCCCCCCCCCAGTCTCTTTTAGACAATTATTTTAAGGATATTAAGTCTTGCTTGGCATTCGATTGCCAATTTTTTAATTGTTTTTTCCAATTTAGATGTTGGTCAAACGTGTAGCATTTGAAAATTTCTTGATATATATTGAAATCCCCTCGTACCTATATATTTAAAACATCGAAGAACGTTTTTAGTGTATTTCAGTTCCTATCGTACAAGTTACAATACCCAAAAGTGTTTTCAGCTCCTTTTTGCGTCGCTTGAGTTAATGTAAACCATTTTAAAGCTTGTTTATATTTCACAGATGCGTATTTTCTCGGTACTCTTTGATCGAAGCCTCTTTTAGGATATTTTGCGTTTCCGTTCCCGTTGTAAATGTTTTGTTTATAACAAGTTAAGAATTTTTAAGAATAACATCACTCTCGCTGTGGTCTCTTCTGTCCCTAACTTTCAAACCCCTATAATAATTCCCCTATGTGGTAGGCAAAATATTTCGTTACAAATGTCATTCCCATAAAATTTACGTTATTTTTTTAAACTAGAAGATTGTTATATGTAGTAGTTATAGGTAGTAAAATTGAAGGGTGGTTAGGGTAGCTTTTCTTTGAAAATAATATAAATTCTATTTTTTCTGTAGAAAATTGAATCCACAACTTTGCAACCATTTCTCTAGTTGATATTAAAACGTTTGTAGCATATTTGTGATGTTTTCCGTATTTTGACTTCTCGCATAGATAACACGGTCATCTGGGTATAAGAGATCTTTCAATGGTTATTTCATACTTATTTATTGCTACTAACAAGTGTCGGACTTCCTTGTAGAATACCATTCTCCAATCAATTGGCTAACAAATTACTTTACCTCCATAATTAGAGCATTTGTGTTTATCCCCTTTCTTGAATATTGAGCTTATGTATCTAACATTCCAATCATCAGGGATATTTTGTATTTTTAAGTATTTGTTTAATAGTTGTACCAACATCTCATGTAATATACTTGGGCCATACTTTACCAACTCAATCGGGATGTCTCCAGGTCCTACTACTTTACCGTTTTTTGATCTTTTGATGACATGGCTTAACTCTCCGGTTATTATCTCAATTATTTGTGTTACTTGTATTCTTCCATTTCGATCTCTTGGAATTTCCATCTATCCCCTGTCAGTAAGACCTTGTAATGGTGTTTCCACTGTTTCAGATCTATTAACTGTAAGTTAGATTTTTCCTTTCCTTGCCTCCGGAGAGACTTTTTCACCTTCCATGCTTGCCCAACTCTTGTTCCACCCATATACCTATCCACCTCTGCACATCTTCGATACCACATCTCATTTTTACTTTTCACTAGTTCTCTTTTTACATCTCGATTTAATTTTTTATATATCTTGTAATCGTCCTTTCTCGTTGACATCCATTTCAGCAGTTTTCTTCTTGTTTATTAACGCTTGCATATTCTCCGAACACCATTCTTGATTTTTTATTTAATGTTTGTCTTTTTAACCCAAAGCTTCATGCACTTGCAGCCTTATGAATGCATTTTTTAAGTTGCTGGTATAATTTTTCCGCTGATATATTTTCTCGATCTACATTTTATAATTTTATGGCTAGTAGTAATTTCTAAAGAAATTTCGTTGAATCTTCTTTTAAGCTTTCTAATTTCTAATTTCTGTAATTTGTTTTGTATTGTATTGTTTTTGCGATAGTTAACTATTACTTTGGTCATAAGTAAACGATGCGATGGTCGGATCCACATTCTGATCCACGGTATACCCTTACGTCAGTTGTTTTCAGCTGGGAAGTTTAACGTTGGATTACATAGTCGATTATCGAGCGCGTGTTCCTAGTAGGTTGTATCCATGTAAATTTGTGGATGTCTATGTTGAAAAAAGCCATTCATAATTTTGAGAGATACTGTTTCACAAAAATCTCTAAGACGCATTCATTTGTCATTGGTTAATTCTCCTAGTATAAGGATTTCACAGTTTTCTTTAACTTCAGAGAGTATTTCATTTATCTTATTGTACAAATCGTCTTTACTTTCTGGATCTGCATCTTCATTTGGGGCATACACTCCGACAATCACGATGTTGTGCGCATTCTTTTTCATTTCCAGTATTAGCAGTTGTTCATTTACTTCAGTTCACGATTTAATATTGTTTTTAAGATTTTTTCGAATGGCAATAGAGCCTCCTCTTAGATCTGTTATCTTTACTCACTCCACTGTAGGTATGTATATATTCTCCTATCTCTTGATTTCCTTTTCCCTTTTTCTTGCTCTTGGTGAGAATACGTATATCTATTATTCTTTCCGTTAATTCTTTGAATAGTTCTACTTGTTTGGTTCCAAGTCCTTGTACATTTCCATGTAGCCAATATCATTTTCCTTTTCCGTTGCATTAGTCGTCTTTGTTTTGATCCATCCTTTGTATTCCGAGGCTTTTGGTCGAAATTTTTAGCATTTATTTCTATTGACAAGGGATGCGATGCTAGACCATCGCCTCAACCCTCCTCCTTTATCCGAGCTTGGGACCGGCACCGGCATTTACTGAGCTACGCGGTCCACCCAGCACTTACCGGAGCGGAGTTACAAATTTAAATACAAATACAAATTACAAATTACTTTTCCAAAATTAAAATAAACAATTTTCTAATCCAAATTAAACTAAATGAAATTTGTTACTACGTTGAGATTTTATGAATTTGCCTATTTTTGTGATACCTCGTATAATTTCAAGGAGAAAAAGTTATCTTAATGTTAGGCTTAGTTGTTATAACAAAATGATAATCATTTTTGGAAAGATCTGGTACTTGTAAATAACAAATTTTAATATTTCGGAAATACATACTAATGTTTCTCAAACAAAATTTATCAAATCTAAAGAGTTATAGATAAAAGGATAAACATTCAGAATTCACACCGTTTCTCCACATTATATGCAACCAAAGAGGCAACTACGAAAGCAAATAATTATCTCATAGTACCTGACATTCCCATTGACGGCACCACTGAATCTAAAACACAGGTAAAATAATTACAGGTAACAGCATTTGACTCGATCGTGTCGTGCGAGTAAAGTGTATGTGAGTAAGAGTTTATAGTGCTCCGTGAACCCTGTATAATTAAAACCTTGTGACTCGTATAGTGTTACACAAAAGCTCACAAAAATGCCAAGGATTATTTACTAAAAGGATACTATTTACTCATAACAGGTACAAATATATTATTTGCTAATAGTTCTTTTAAAAATGGTACACGTCTACAATTGCTCCAATTTTTTTTTCACGGTCTGTCACCTATGAAAAATAAATACACGAAACACAGAATCATTTACCTTGTTATCCAGTAATATTATTATTTTCTATTTGTTGTCTTAACTGTGTAAAACCGCTTGTGGGACAGCAGAGGTCAAGCTATCGGGTTCCATGTCCTTGTAGAATTCTTTGGGTTCCGATGTACCGGTACCTTAGACTTGTGCCTCTGATTCCTATAAAGGTGTGCCAGGGCCTGCTCAAGAAAATTTTTCTGCCCCTTTGGATAATTTCCACTTTAACTCACATTCCTATCAAATATCTCAAATCTAGCGGAAACAGTTTTCTTAACTGTTCAAGCTGCTTTAAAATGCAGGACAACAGAATAATTTGTTTTGAATTACATTTAGTAAATATATAAACATGTTTATTTTATTACAACAAAAGTTGTATAATGTCAGTAATGTCAAAATGGTTATTTGTTAAGTTCAACTAAAGGAAAATAATCGAATATAAATATTTATTATATATGCGAAAACACTAGAAATTTGTTACTGTACTAGAAATTAATAAAAAGGCACAATAAATCTGGAATGGTATATTTCAAGTGAGAAAGGTGAATTGCACGCGTGTTTTATACAATACTTATTCTACGACTACAATAAATTATGTATAAAACTGATTTTGTTTTGTTTTTTATGAAAATAAGTCAACAAAATATTGTGCAATCTTATCCTCCAAAGCGTTTTAATATATTTTCTTCCCACAAGGACCTGGAATATGTCAAACTTTTTTATTTGGAGATGTAGCTATAATACCAATATATTTGATTAAGATTACTAACATTTAAACCGTTGCGTTGTGCAATATGTTCGGCCGTTTCCTCTGCATTTTTGCAGAACAGTTTTGCAGAATATACATCTTTGCTCTAGCTTCAGTGCGAAGATCTCTGACCAAGTTCAGTTTTCTGAAGTTGTGGCGAGTAGGAAGTTTTAGTAACATTTTTACTTGCCATTGTCCTCTTTTCATATTTTCTCAGTAGACTAAAATAAATTCCATTTTCCGAGACGAGACTTTTTGGTACCTCAGAATAGCTTTGGTGCGATAAAAGATAAAAGTAATAGTAATAGATTCTTCTTTATTAATACTATCGGCAAGTCCGATAAAAGAAGTACTACATCCTTCTTTAAGCCAGCCTTGAAGTTAAAAGCCAGCGTTAGGATACAGGGAGAAAATTCTCGATCCTCTGAGATAAAGGATCCATCCTTTATCTCAAAGTTTACCTTTGAGATAAAGGATGGACTCAGACAAGGGGATGCCCTGGCTTGCCTCCTATTTAACATTGCCTTGGAAAAGGCAGTCCGGGACACACATGGACGTAACGTCCATGGGGACACACGAATTAGAAACGACGGTACTATTTACAATGGATGTACAATTTAGATCGATACAAATCTTAGCATACGCTGATCTTTTTCTGATGGAGCCATCTCCTTTCGAAGGTTGGCGATCCAAATGACAATTGTAGTTTTGGAAATTGCTGCGTGAAAGGAGAACCATCTCCTTATCTTTCAGTCACGGGTTCTGGCGTCTTCCTACTGATCTTGACATCAGCAATTTCGTAACCAGCAATTATTCGAAGTCCTGGTAACCAAAACACATTTATTATGTTATTTTTGGTCAGTTGCTTAAAGGTTTTTTTGCAATTCCAAGCTGTTAAAGACATACAATTGTAGAATTTACAGTCTAGTTCAGCTTGGCTTTCAGATGTTTCAGACGTTTTTCAGGTACTTTTGCGCACAAAAATCCATTTCTACTAATTTTGCTTGAAATATCGTAGCAGTAGTTTCGATGGCTATTGATATTTGAGTATTAGAACTATTAAACTCTATCCCAATTTTTGCACCATCAGTATAATAAGTGAGACTACGTCCTGTCGATTTAAGCGATTTCGTTGTGTGACAGCTCACACTGGTTTATGATGACATTTAGTGAAAGTGCGAAATCTAGCTTTACACATTGTTTGCGGGCATTTTCTTGACATACGGTCCTACGCATTAAAGATATCCTATGAGATCGCAAGGTTCTATATACTAACAATGTGTTAGCCTAAATGCACTTTCTAGAGTAATCTTCAATTCAAGTTGCCATTGGAAAACAAAAATTAGTAAAGTTAACGATATAAACAATATCAGTTTTGACAAATACGGTTCGTTATGATGTACAAACTTAATATTCATCAAAGTATTATATCGTTTACTTGGACATGTATCAAAACGCGATATTGTAAGAATTTTTAGTGCTCAAAATATTTCTGTGTCAACGATTTACGAGACATATTCCGTTCTCACAGACCGCTCCGAATATCTTCGTAGCACTTTTCTTTCAACAATCGATAGAGCGGATTCATCGGTTTTAGTTAGCGCCCATGCCTCTGATCCATATGTGGGAACGGGGACTATCAGTGTTCTATATAGCCTTATTACGAGTTTTTTGAGACAGACGTTTGTTAGCTAAGTACTTTGATAGACCATGATAATACCTCTTTGCAATTATTATTCGCCTTTTTATTTTCTCAGATGTGTTATTATTCGGGTTAACTGATGTCCCTAGATATATGAACTCTTTGACTGCTTTGAAGTTTTGGTCATTGATGATTAAATCTGCGTCAACATTTCTAGCTCTTGTGTTTGTGTTAGTCGCCATGAATTTGGTATTATTTTGATTTACATGCAACCCCATTCGTTCTGCTGCTGCTATTAGCTCGGTTAGGATTTCCGTAGTTCTAGCCAATCCATCCATAGAATTTTCCATCTGCATATGCTAGAATTTGGACTAATCTATTAAATATTGTTCCCCTGCTATCTAAATTAGCATCTCATACAACTTTTTCTAAGGCGGCATTAAAAACCTGACACGCCAGCGCATCTCCTTGCCTTAATCCCCTGTGTATTTCAAATGGGGTTGACGAGTCGTTTTGAATTTTTACTGCTGATAGCATCTTCGCCATTGTCACTTTTATCAAACATATGAGTTTTTTTTTGGAATTCCTAACTCATTCATAGCTTTTAAAGACTTGGTCTTAAGACACTGTCTTATACGGCTTTAAAATCGACAAAAATATGATACATATGTATGTTAAATCTGATTAATGGTTGAACAATGAACGTCCACGCCTAGAAACGTTTCGATATAAGGCTTCAATCTTATTGCAAAATTTTTGACAGTATCTTATATGCTGTATTTAGGAGAGTTATTTCGCGATAATTATTGCATTCCAGTTGGTTTCCCTTTTTATGTAACGGGCAAATTAAGCATAAGTTCCATTCTTCAGGCATTTGCTCCTCAAAGTTTTTACAAACAATTTTTCGCATCACTTTGGTGAGCTGGTTCCTTAGTTTTTCTATAAATATTTTCACTTCATCTACTGAGGGGGGTCCACGAGTTCCTCATTTCGGTATTCCAGTTCTATAATGTTAGTAGGTTCCCCTTCCAGCAACTCTCGAAAGTGCTCTACCCATCCTAACAGGATATCTTCTTTGTTGGTAAGTAAGCTACCTTCCTTATCATTACAATAGTTGATTCTCGGTTTGAATTATTTTCTAATAATATTTATTTGATGATAGAACTTTCTTGTTTTTCCGTGATCATGTGGCTTTTAGCCGTTCTAATATGTCACTTTCCGAGTCTCGTTTCTTTTTTCGGTGTATGCATTTTTTCTCTCTTCTTAAGTTTTTGTACCTATTGTTGTCCTAGTTTTCCGTTGTTGCATGGCCCTAAATGCCTCATTCTTTTCATCTGTTATTTTTTTGCAGTCTTGGTCGAACCAGTCGTTTCTTTCTTGGGTTCGGGATATTCCCAATGTGCTTAATTTCAGAGCCTCCTTGCAGTTGTTCCACATTTCCGTGCTTGACTGGTCGACTGCCCAGGTGTGTTCTAGGGTTTTTTTATATGGTCTGTTTCTCTTTCTGTCTAGTGCCCCTTTCTTTCTTGGCATTGGAAATTCTTTGTCGTAACTTGGCCCCTACCATGAAATAGTCTGAGTCAATATTTGCGCCTTTGTAACTTCTGACATCCATTAGGTTTGTAAAGTGCCTTCTGTCAAATTATAACATGGTCAATTTGATTTGTGGTGATATCCAAGTTGCTTTATGGATATTCTTATGATTAAAACATGTACTTCCTAGAATTAAATCTTTGGAAGCTGCCATACTAATAAGCCGTAAACCATTGTCATTAGTAACGTTGTAAAGGCTGTATTTACCAATATAATGTTGGTAGCATTAAATTTAGCTAGTTAAAATAGTTAAAAGTTAGCAGGTATTGCAAATATTTGAAGATCTGAAGATCATTTAATCTTTGGGAAAAAAGGGCAGTTTTCACCCCTAAAAACAAAAACCACACCTTTTAATCACATATTTTTTAAAGAAGAAGGTAAGTTAAGCTTAGTTGTACAATTTTATCAAAATCGGCGCTGTTCTTTAGAATTCCGAAGTTTTACAATATTTTACTGTGAAAGAATGGACTAAGTACTATCCTTTATACCAAATTGTTTGTCTTTGACGCGCCTTGTCCGACTTTGTATAGTTCCGTCCGGTTCTTGGTTGTAAAAATTATGATAATTTTCGAATTTCTCTAGTACAGAGTACCAGTCTGTAGAGTGGTTCCAAATTATTAAATAAATAACTAAGATATACAAAAGTATTTTCTGTTATATGTTATAAACTGTGTTAAATTTTTGTTGTAAAAATCAATCCCGTCATCTGGTATCCATAATAATATGCCTCCTTTTCAAAACGAGTTCCAAGTTGTATCATAACCAAACCGCTACTTCATGATTTCATACAAATAAACATTATACGGTTATCTTTTATATTTATCTTTAACAACTGCATGTGCTTAATTAACTGTATGCATAAACTTGATCGAATTTTTTTATTATCTTCACCATTATTTGATTT